ACTTGCCCCAGTGCAGTGGCCCACCTAAGGCCTTCTTGGCACACCCACATCCTTTCTTTATTCTTCTCTGCCCTGCTCTATGCCCTTGGGGGCTTACTCACCTGAGTTCCTTTGGCCTCTGCTTCCTGCTGAATTTGACTAAGGGAAGACACAAGCAAGAAATCCAAATATTTCCTACTCATGCTGACTCGGCCTAGGAGCCATGTGTGACTGTGGCTGTGACTATGTCCCTTCAGCTCCTGTCTCGCTTCTCTCTTCCGTGGCTTCAGCTTTGCCTGAGTTCTGATATCACTGCTTCCATGCTAAAGGCTTATAATGGCTCTCCACTCTTACCAGTACCTCAGTGCTTCAATATCCTTCGTTGGTTCCCTTAACCCTGCCCAAACCTCTGTAAAGAAGAGTCCTTCAGTGCTCAGCTGGTGTTGCTCAGTGGTTAAGTATCGACCCATGAACCAGGAGGTCAGAGTTTGACTCCCGGTAGGAGGTGTGCAGGAGACAACCAATCAATGATTCTCTTTCATCACTGAAGTTTGTCTCCCTTTCCCTTCCTCTTTCTGAAATCAATAAAAATAAATTAAAATAAAATAAGTCCTTCATTAACTCTTCTCAGTGATGCAAACACAGACAGCTGAGAGGGTCTTTTGTCTCCTGTGAGAACCCCAACTGACAGGCCTGAGGACAGCTGCCTGCTGTGTCCATTTCTGCTCTCTGCCCACAGGTTCCTCAGGGCTATTGTGTCCATTCCATACTTCATGCCCTTTCTTCCTCAGGCTGCCTCCCCTCCTTTGTTAGGCCCCCTGAACCCTTTTTGGAACCCTCTTTGCTGGTCCCAAGCCTAATAAAGACCTGCGTTTTACCCGGTCCTCTTCCCCCAGATGATTGCTCAATCAGATCATTGCTCAATCAGAAAGTAGGCCAACAACCTGTGGGCACACGTCTGGGGGGAGGCAGAGGAATGGTTCAGACATGGCTGCCTTCCTTTCACCAACTCTCAGGCCTCCATCCAGGAGTCCTGATTGAAAGCTGGAACAAGTAAGGGCTGCTACAACAGGGCAGGGAGAAAAAAAGGAAGGCCTGGAGCGAGAAGAGGGAGGCATTTGCTTTGCAACTGGGTTTCTGGGTTCTCTCTAGACCAGACATTTCCAAGAAAAATTTTTATAAGTTTTTATTTATTTCATAGAGAGGAAAGAAGAGGGAGAGAAAGATAGAGATATCAATGATAAGAGAGAATCATCAATCAGCTGTCTCCTGCACACCCTTCACTGAGAATTGAGACCATAACCTGGGCATGAGCCCAGATTGGGAATTGAACCATGACCTCCTGGTTCATGGGTGGATATTCAATGACTAAACCATTGAACATCTTGCTGGACTGCAAGAATTTTAAAAACATTCAACACCTGACAACAACAATAGCCATCTTGTGTGAATGCCTGTCTTGAACCATAAATATATATGTCATATAATAGAGTTGCATTTTATTGATCACATCACATAATAAGGTTGTGTCTGATTAGTTCTTTTTTTTTAAATATATATTTTATTGATTTTCACAGAGAGGAAGAGAGAGGGATAGAGAGTTAGAAACATCGATGAGAGAGAATCATCTATCAGCTGCCTCTTGCACACCCCCCACTGGAGATGTGCCTGCAACCAAGGTACATGCCCTTGACGGGAATTGAACCTGGGACCTTTCAGTCCGCAGGCCGAAGCTCTATCCACTGAGCCAAACCGGTTTCAGCTGATTAGTTCTTAGTACCAGAAATCCTTATTTACAAGTATAGACATTTTATTTTTTAATGGTTTTTTAAAAATTGATTTTTAGAGAGAGGGGAAGGGGGAGGGAGAGATAGAGAGATACATCCATGAAAGAAACATCCATCTGCTGCCTCCTGCATGCCCCCTATTGAGGATAGAGCCCACAATCCAAGCCACAACCTGGGCATGTGCCCTGACCGGGCATCCAACTGGCGATCTCTCAGTGCATTGGATGCTCACCAACTGAGCCACACCCACCAGGGCAAGACACCTGATTTTTATTAAAGTCACTTTGGAGCAAAAAAGGTAGGTAATTACTATTATTTTTTTGTAAATCAATCAAAATTAAACTTTTTTTTTGTCATGTGACCAAAAAATATATTTTGGGTATGCTGCAGAATTTTAGTAATTAGTTTGTGTGTCCCATGAGATGAAAAAGGTTGAGAATTACTGCTCTAGACCTTTGCCCTCTGCCCCCATCGTTTCCTCCCTTTGGTTGGACAGCCCTGCACCATGGGTCGATATTGTCTGCAGCCCAAGGCCGAGATTTTGCAACCCATGTGTTCTTTGGGTTACGTGATGTCTGTGTTTGCTCAGCTTATAACCCCCTTCTGCCAGGGTCTGAGGTCCTTGAAATAGGAACCCTAGAGGAGAAAGTCTGAAAGGGACCTCCTGAGGGACTGCAAGGCTGAGCTGTGGGGTTTCCTGAGCAACCTTGTGGGCGTTATCCCACCTTTAACCTGAGATCTTCATCTAAGGAGAGAATTTAAGGGACTCTTCTGGTACCTCTCCCTTCACGCACCCAACTCCCCTCCCTCCCACCACTTCAGTCCCCAGAGCCAAGACTAAGGTGCGGTAGAGTAAAGCACTCACCTTAGAGGCAAAATTTAAGGGGAAGCCAAAAAATTTATCAATAAAAATAAATTATATCCACTGAGCCAAACCGGTTTCGGCTAATTCTATATTTTTAAAACATCAAGGTTAATGCAAAAAAAAAAAAAAAAATCCATGATGAAAAAAGGCAAATTTGTAAGTAAACATGGCTCTGCCTGCTATAACAAGGAGAAAGAGTGGGTATGTCTTCTTTCAAACCTTTTCTTCCAGAGTCCCCTGAATCCCTAACTCTAGACTGTCAGACTTTTTCTCATTTAGGCAAGATAATCATTCAGGATTCTTCTACTTCCTTACCCACCCCTAAGCCTTGTCGCCATCCTCCAGCCCCAGCCAGATTGGAGGTAGGGCGGCCAATGAGGCAGATGGCTGGAGTATTTATAACTCAGGAGCACTTCTTGGGAAAAGTGACTAAGACGCTAAGAGCATATTTATAGCTGGGTTCTGACGTAAGTGTCAGTGAGGAGGTAGGGCCAAGCCAGGCACAGCAGCAAAGGGTAGGAAGAGCTGGAAATTGGGGGCACCTGACAGAGGGGAGGGGTGGGGACAGCGACTCCTGCAGCTGTTTCTTGCTGCTTCCCTGAACTCTGCCTCCTGGCACCAACAGGAAAGCCCTCTGCAACGCCGCTGTTGTGGGCAAAACCTCTGTCTTGCAGTTCTACGACGCGGATCCCAGAGGGTAGAGGGCTGTCACCAGCCGGGTCAGCAGAGACAGAGCTGGGGAGAACACTGGACGGAGGGGCTCGAGTGTTTCCGCCCCGGGGGGAAATGCAGGGCAGACAGGACGGCCTGTAAAGTCTCATTGTCCCTTCTCCCTGCTCCCCTCCACGAGGTGCCTTAAGTTCCTAGGAAGAACTTCGCACCCATCACCAAGCTCCACTGCCACCTGCCAGTGTGATGAGATCCAAAACCAAAGGCAGCAGCGATGCTGGTCCCAACTGCACTCTCTGCCCTCTGGCAGTGGCGAGATGTGAGAGCGGAGGGACCAGCTTCTCTGTCTCCTGTTGGGGAGTCAGGGTTCCCAGAGAGAGAGGTTGGGAAGCACTGCCTCTCTCCACCCGCCTGGCGGCCCCTTCTCTGGGAAGCTAGTCAGAGCTAAGACAGTGGCTGTCAGTAGCACTGCACTGCCACATGGTGGACATCGGGGGTACTGAAACCCAGCCCCCCAAAGCACCACCTCTATCCCTGCTGCTGGATTAGCAGGTTCTCTTGACAGTCCCCCCTCCTTCCCCCGCCACACACACACACACACACACGCTAGATAGTGGGGAGATGAATAAAATGGAGTGGGGGCACACTTCCAAGTCACGCTCACTTCCTCTCTCTTCTTGAAGAAACTGAGGTGTAAGGAGAAAGGCTAGCATGAGACCTTCCCTCATAAATTCAAGGTGGAGGGGCCTGGCCCTCCAATGTAGGGTCAGTGAGGGAGTGGGATAAGGAGGGCTGGGACTGAACTAAGGTTGCTGCACTTTTTGTTTGCTCTGCTCTTACAAGCCAACCATTTCTCATCCCCACTAAGCCAACCATTTCTCATCCCCACTAACAGAGACCTGGCACCACTTCTAGGATGCCCCACATTTAAGCAACTCTCACAGTCCCTGAAAGAGAACCAGCAGCTGGGTACACCACCACCCCCCCAAGTCCCATGCCCTCTGCCAGCCTTGGTGGACTCTGCCCTGCTGTAAGATTGCATCAACCCCACCGCCCCCACCTCTCTGGGTTTCCCCAGACATCACAGTAACATGCCAACCCCGTGCCCCTGCCCACTTCCACGTGTGCTCCAGTCCAACTGGACTCTGGGCAGCCAGCACAGGCAGGGTCAGGGCGTGACTTCTGTGTCCCATGGCACTGACACCTGGGCCTGGGCAAAAGGACTCTGCTCCTCCCGCCCCCACCTGCCAGCCTCTCCCCCTGTACCAGACCCAGTGCTAAAAATAGAAATCAGGGTTCTCCTTCTAGCCCAGAGACCCCAGGGGAACAACCGCGGGAACTCGCAGCTGCATCACAGCAACTGCTGCAGCAGTGGCCAAAGAGCGGGCTGGGGAGGCTGAAGGATGAGGGGAGATTGCCCTTCCCCACCTTGCTATATGGCGTTCCCTCCCCCAAGTCCCAGACCTTGAGGGCTGACCATGTGAAATCATCCTCTGTCTTGCATCATGCGTGTCCACATTGCCCCCACCCATACCCCTACCTCAAACTCAGTGACCAGGGCCAGATGGTGAAACCTGAGCTGGGGGGGGGGGGCATCCACGCCCTGCAGGGGCTTGATGGGCAGCAGAGCTGGCCAATCCGGTGCTCAGAAGGTAGGTCTGCAGGCTGACCACGAGGTGCAGAAGCCCCAGGCTGCAGACTCTAAAGAGGCCCCCCGCCAGTAACCAGACATAAGCTACGAGGGTCAGATTGGCAGACTGTGCTAGACACAGCTACCCATCAGGCCGTCCACTTTCTACCAGGCAACGGAAGACAGGTGGCTCTGCCCTTGGCTGAGGGTAGGTGTGGCACTCCTGTCCGCCCCCACTGTGCCCTCTCTGGCCCCCGTGCAATCAGACGCAACAACAGGAGCAACTACCACCTGAGGCCATTCACCAGGAACATGGGGCTCCCTGGTGTCCAGCTCCGGCTGGTGCTGCTGTGGGCACTGGTGTGGGCACAGGAGACAAGGTCTGTGTGTCCCTCTTGCGGGGGCCCCACCCTGGCGCCCCAGGCGGAACGAGCTCTGGTCCTAGAGCTAGCCAAGCAGCAAATCCTGGAGGGGCTGCACCTGACCAGTCGTCCCAGGATCACTAACCCTCCACCCCAGGCAGCACTGAGCAGAGCTCTCCGGAGACTACAGCAGGGAAGTGTGGCTCCGACGAAAGGGGAGGAGGTCATCAGCTTTGCTACCACCACAGGTGGGTGAGAGAGAGAGAGGCAGAAAGCAAGCAGGGGAAGGGGGGCGGAAAGGGAGGCTGGCAGACAAGGTAGACAGAGCAGGGTGTGGGAGGAGGAGGAGAAGATGGGGCAGGGACTGGGTGCGGAGGATGCTAGACAGTCCCCGTTTCCTCTAACGGTGGGCGCTAGGGAGAGCAGAGGGCAGGGCTTGCAGGAGTCTAGCTCGGAGGAGAGCTCCACTTCTGCTCAGTCCCTCAGACCTTTCTCCACCTTTCCCGCAGATCCCTCCACGCCAACCTGCAGCTCCACGCTCACCTTCCACCTGTCCACTCCTCGGTCCCACCAGCTGTTCCACGCGCGCCTGTGGCTTCACGTACTCCCCACCCTTCGTGGCACTCTTTACTTGAAGATCTTTCGTTGGGGCACCAGGAGGAGGCACCGAGGGTCCCCCGCCTTCCTGGCTGAGCACTCAATTACAAGCCCCGGCTGGCATGCCCTGACTCTGCCCTCTAGTGGCCTGAGGGGTAAGGAGTCTCGTGTCCTAAGACTCCAGCTGGACTGCAGTCCCCTAGAAGGCAACAGCACAGCTGCCGGCGGCCAACCTCCGCGCCTCCTGGACACAGAGGGAAACCAGCGGCCCTTCCTGGAGCTGAAGACCCGTCCCAATGGGCAGGGAGCAGGCCGTGTCAGGAGGAGGACCCCCACCTGTGAACCTGACACTCCCTTATGTTGTAGGCGAGACCATTACGTAGACTTCCAGGAACTAGGGTGGAGGGACTGGATCCTGCAGCCTGAGGGGTACCAGCTGAATTACTGCAGTGGGCAGTGCCCCTCCCACCTGGCTGGCAGCCCGGGCATTGCTGCGTCCTTCCATTCTGCTGTCTTCAGCCTCCTCAAGGCCAACAATCCCTGGCCCTTGGGTACCTCCTGCTGTGTCCCTACTACCCGAAGGCCTCTCTCTCTCCTCTACCTGAACCGAGATGGTAATGTGGTCAAGACAGATGTGCCCGATATGGTGGTGGAGGCCTGTGGCTGCAGCTAGCAAGAAGATCTGGGGGTTGAAGTAAAGATATCAAGTTGGGGGTTCCCAGGCAAAGGGCACCTGCGGCAGGAGGCATCAGATTCCTGATCTGCACCACCACCCGATGGGCCACCTGGCAGTATGACTGAGCTGATCTCTCTGGGACCCAAACGGACGCTTTCCTATCCAGGCGCTGGTCTGTTCCGGGGTATGGTGTGTGGGGAGCTGGGGAAAGTGTGTGCTCTGAAGGGATCTACCCAGAAAGCATGATTTCCTGCCCTAAGCCCTATGAGAAAACAGCAGCAGCAAAGGAGGGAGGGAGGGAGGGAAGAAGCAGGCAGAGAACATGACTTAGTCTCTCCCAAGAAGACAAAGTCCTCGAGAGAAGAAAGAAGCAGACAGAGGGCCCGGCAGACTTGGGGCAGGGGAAACAGGCTGGCCAGGGGTCGGGCTGTTGAGGTGCTTTAAGGGAGGGTCAACAAGGATATGGGCAAGGGCCGAGGAAAGGGGTTGAGCAGAACCCCAGAAATGGGAGTCAGGAGAGAAGCGTGCTGAGACTGAGAAGTTCCTCGGCTTTTCCCAGTGAGGGGCAGGACCCACTGGGGAGACAAACATTTATACTTTCCTAATAAAAATGAAGGGGGAAAAAATTCAACCAGTTTGAGTCATAAAGGGCTGGGGTGTTGGTACAGAGCAATGGTTCTCAAAGTGCGGTCTGGGGACCGCTGGGAGGTTCCTGAGACCCTTTCAGGGGTGTCCACGGGGTCACCACTATTTCCATAATAACACTAAGATGTTGTTTGCCTTTTTATGTTCATTCTCTCAAAAGCATTCAGTGTTTTCCAGAGGCTGGTGACATGTGATTACATCATCGTTCTGACATTGTTAATGGGATGCGTGCTTTGTGTATTCTTGTGTTACAAACTTTTTTCAGTTTTAATTTCTAATATGGTAAATTGGTATAGACCACATAAACAAAAGCTTGGTAAATTTTAAAGCGTGTAAAGTGGTCTTGAAACCAAACATTTGAGACTTGCTGATCTGGAGAAAGCAGTGTGGGAAGGAGAAGGCAGTGTGACCTAAAGGAACTACCCTGGAGGGTGGGGCACATGGCTGAGGCCGGAGCATGGGCAGGATCCCTTCTTCTCCAGTGACCTCTGGTCGTGCTTGACCCTCTGAGTATAACTGGTGTCTGGGTCAAAGAAACATGGGGGAGGGAGCTCAAATATGCTCCTTATCTGCACCTCACAGCTACTATCTACATGCGTCTGGCCTCAGATGACTTCCTAGTTTCTCCTTTTCCCCTTGACCCTCAGACTGAACAGTTAACCTACTAACTCTCCAGCCCCAAGGAGGTGGTTCTCGGAAGCAGAGTTAGGATGTGGGAGGTCTGTCTAAAGGGTAACAGAAAATAAAGGGACCTTCCTCCCCCCCCCCCCCTACCATGCTTTCGCCCCTTTCTCATAAAGAAAGGTCGGAGAGCATGAAATAGTTGACCCTATCCCTGCATCTGATCACCATGGCAACACAAATCCAAAAAGACACTACCGCTCTGCACTAGCAGCCTCTGCCAGTCCGGTGTTGGGGGCTCATACAACCCCCTCCCTGGACTAGCCTGACTGGGCTTTGGTGGCGATCTGTAAACCCTATTCCTTTGGCCTCCCAAGTTTCCTCTGCCTCGGAGACTCCAGGAGGGTGTCATGTGCCAAAAAGGCCAGCAGAGGGAGCAGACAGCCTGGCAGAGCAGAAAGAGCGCGGACAGCGCAGAGGTGCGGAGGTGGCCGCCTTCTCCAGAACTTCGAGAACAGGGAGAACCGGGGTTCCTCGGGTACAGTACTTCAGTGCTGGGGTTCCCTAGGAACCTTGTGTCCACACACTCTGCACCCATTGCCTCAGCCTCTGCTCCTCATATGCTGCATAGAACCCTCACCTTACGCTCAGGGCCCCCAACCCAAGGCTGTCACAACCCTGTTTCCAACAACCCCCCCAGCTCCGTCCCCGCTCTTTCGTGTCCTCCCAAAGAGTGAGGACCGCCGAGAAAACCGCAGGGTGGTGCTCACTAGCCACCAATCAAGGACCAAGACCCTACCTCCAACATAGTCTTTCTGGAATAAACTTTGTCGTCGCCCCCTTCAGGCCTGCAATGTGCTTCTGGCACGGGTTCAGGGCCTTTTCGTGGACAGCCAGTCCGAGGATCCATGCCGGGATTTACTGCCCGCCACCAGCAGCGTGTTCAGTTGGGGGGGGGGGGTGCAGCATAGGGTCCCTCAAGGGAGGGGGAGGATCCTGGGGGTCCTGGGGGTGCAATGAGCCCAGCACCCCCTCTCTTGCTTCCAGCTACCCCGCCTCATCCTACAGAGCGGCAAGAGGGAGGGACCTAGGAGGGAGGTGAAGGGCCAGCGGGAAGAGCGGCGGCGCGCCAGCGGCTGGAGCGAGGAAAAGTTTTTGCATCGGGGAAAAAAAAGTTTGCGCTTCTCGCGGGTGGTCCCGGCTCGCGGCCCGGCGGGCTGGGCCGGCGGGAGGGCTGGGGGCCAGGTTAGGGGGGGTGGGGGTGGCACTGAGGCTGCGCTGCAGTGGCCCCGTCCGCCCCCCTCCCCACCGCAACCCCCGGCCCAGACTCCAGCCCTGGACCGCGCATCCCGAGCCCAGCGCCCAGACAGAGGTGAGAAGGGGGGGCGGGCGGGGGACCACCTGGGAGAGGTGGGGGAGGGGGCCGGAGGGGATGCTCTGCTTGTGAGGGACTCTGCCCGGCCATCAGAACGGGGGCACAGCGGCGGGATTGGGGTGGGAGAACCTGGGGTGAGACATTAGAACGTGTGGAGGATTTTTTCATTTGTATCTCCCTTTTTCTGTTTCTTTTCTTTTTTTTTTTTCCCTTCTCTCTCTCTCTCTCTGCCGGCTGTCTGTGTGTCTGTCTCAGGCAACTGGCTCTCTTTGTCTGTCTCTGCCTCTCCCATACGTTAGAAGCATCTCACTTTCATGAGGTTGGGATGGAGAGGCTGGAGGGACGGCTAGCTGGAGGTCTGCAAGGTAGAGGGGGAACTCCAGGTGTGCGTGAGCGCCGGCGGGAAGACGTCAGTGTTTCTGAAAGGAGGGGACAGCTCAGGAGAGAACCCTAGGTGGGTGGGAGGGGATTGGTGTGCGTGAAGTGACAAAACCACTGGTCGGCGGGGCTAGGACCCCTGACCTGTCTGTCTTGTGACAGATGTGCTTGCTGGTGCCCGTGTTTTTGGAAAAGGAGTGTCTTCTGGACAAGGAAAGGGGCTGGAGGGACCCGTGTCTGGGTTAGGCCCTAGAAAGACTCCCCAAGGACCCTGGACTCCCGCGTCCCCCAGGGTGGTGGGCAGGGTGCTGCGGAGGAGCCCAGGAGCCCTTGTCCTGACCCGCTGACCTCAGGACCACCGGGACAGCTGGGGCCAGCGGCAGGGAGACCCCTACTGGGACGGGGCGGGACCACCGGCCACTGCCGGCCGGTGCATCCCTGCGGGTCCCCCTCCCTCCCGAACGGGAGCCGGACCAGGCCCCTCCTCTGGCTCAGACCACCCTGCCTGCCCTCGCTCGCCGCTCTGAAGCCTCTTTCAGGCCCCGTGACCCCGAAACAATCCGCCCTGTGCAGCCAGCTTCAGGGACAGGATTAGGGAAAGGGGATCCCATAGAGACTGAGGAACGGAGATTTTTTAGGGGGCTGGAGAACTGGGGTCTTCCTCGGATGAAGCTTTACGGCCGGGCAGAGGAAGAAGGCGGGGCGGTTTCCTGGGGGAGCTGTGAGGGCCGGAGTCAGGGTGGTTTTCCCCAGGGGGGCGGGGTCCGGGCCCCCTCCCCCATTCTCCCCGGCATCCCCGCCAGGCGGCTCCGACCCCGCCCTTGACGTCACTCTGGGGGTTCCCGGGGGTCTGTCGGGGTTAACCCTTGGGAAGCCAGCTGGGATACCCGGGACCCTAAGGTGTCCTGGTGGCTGCCCTCCCCACACACACCCCTTATTTTATTTACTCGGTCGCTTTCTCTCCCTGTGGTTTCTGGATGCTTTCTTTTCCACCTTGCCCCTGGGACCCCCACCCTCCCCCGGCGGCCCCTCCCACACACACGGGGCGGAGGGAGGAATGTGTCCCGCCTCCCAGCACCCCCCACCCCCCCTCGCCGCGGCTCGCTCCACTGGGCTCCCGGGCGGGCGGGGGAAGCGGAGCCGTCTGCAGCCAGAGCCTGCGGCGGCGACTTGGGTGGGCCGGGGAGGCACGGGGGCGGGGAAGGCGGGCCCGGGAGCAGGGGGAGGGGCCGGCTCCTGGGAGTTGGGGAGCGGGGGGTGCGAGAGGGACTCTGGAAACTAGGAAGACACACAAGATGATTCAGGGCTCCAGGTGGGGAACCCTAGAGCCAGCTTCCTGCCCCGTCCTGTGCGCTCCTCCATACCCCCAAGAAACTTAACCGAGGCTGGAAAGGCTGGCAAATTTTTCCTTTCCCTCATGTGAAGGGGAGTCGTGGGTGGGCCCTGGCGCGCGTGGGCGAGGAGGGATGTCGCCCCACGTCCAGCGGCTGCACCCCTGAGGCTGGGCCGTGAGGCAGAAAGATGACTTGGTGGGCATGGTTGGGGCGTCTCTTTAGTGTTGGGGGGGGGTCGTTGGCGAGCCCCAGCCTTCTTCCCCTGTATGAGTCATAGAAGGAGGCGGGGGAAGTGTCCCCCGATCCAGCTGCCAACCAGCTGTGCCCCCCCTCCGCCGTGCCAAGGTCGAGTTGGGAGGTCTTGGATGCGGGATCCAGATCCCCGCTAGGAAGGGAGGGACTGGAAAGAGTACGGTCCGGGGGTCCAGGCTGCGAAGCTCCGACTGGGTCGTGGGGTCCGGGTTCCGCTCCCCAACTTACCCCGCCCTCACCCTAAATCCCAGCATCCCGGGATCACCCACCGCGCCGGCCGGCCCGCTCCCGTTCGTTCTCCACCCTACCCCGCCCCACCCCACCCTCAGCCTCGGGACACCGGAAAACATGGGGTGGAGTACAAACTGGAGTTCGGGGAGAAAAGCGGACAGCGGCACCCTGTCCTCCCTCACTCCTCCTAATGGATAATGACTTTGTTTTTTATTCTCCCAAAGACTTCCCTCACAGTCCCTTACCTGTTCCCCCAAATACTTCAAAAGCCTTAGGAGGGTGCCCAGATTCAACCCATCCAGAATAACACCAACTTCCATCCTTTGTAAGCAGCGGCCCCGGAGGCTCCCTTCAGAAACCTTATCCCGGTTCTACAGTGTTTTGCTCTGGAGAGAAAAGGGCAGGTCATCCGTGCTTCCTCCTGGCCCCACCGGCCTCTGCCTGGGCTGTGGCGAGGGCGCCCTCTGCTGGGCACTGAAGAGATTGTTGGCAGGCTGTCCGTAAGCAGTAACAAATGAAGGGAAAGAGGCTCAGGCTGAACAGCCAGCCCAGTGCTTAAGCCAGACATGCTCCGCAGGAGTCTCAGCCCACTCCTCAAAGCTGGCCCATGGTCAGAGCAAGAATTAATAAAGGTTCCATGGCATTAAAATCATTTGAAGCTCTCCTAGTCACAATTAGTCCACAACACACACAGGCAAAGCTCCCACCGACTTTCCACAAAAATCGCCAAGACTGCCCCTGACTCTTTGGGACTTCTCTCCTTACCTGACTTTGTTCCTTACCAACATGACCTGAGTGATGTTCATTTCAGCCTGATTTCCTGTGCCAGATGTCTTGGAGGGGGCTGGGAGCCCTGTGCCTGAGATGGTTATCTGACCTTCCCTGTTTTCCTCCCTCCGTTATAACTTGCAGATCTCCCTTCCCCTCCTGCAGCGTTCCCACACCCTCCTCTGAGACACCATGTTCAACTCGATGACCCCACCGCCAGTCAGTAGCTATGGCGAGCCCTGCTGCCTCAGGCCCCTCCCCAGCCAGGGGCCCCCCAGCATGGGGACAGAAGGTCAGTGCATATACCAACCTCTGAGCCTCAAGGACTGGCAGGTTTCTCACCAGCCCCAGG